CTAAACCCTCAACCCTCAACCCTCAACCCTCAACCCTCAACCCTCAACCCTCAACCCTCAACCCTCAACCCTCAACCCAAAACCCTAAACCCTAAACCCTAAACCCTAAACCCTAAACCCTAAACCCTAAACCCTAAACCCTAGACCCTAACCCTAGACCCTAAACCCTAGCCCTAGACCCTGAACCCTGAACCCTGAACCCTGAACCCTGAACCCTGAACCCTGAACCCTGAACCCTGAAGTGTGTATGTGTGGCTCAAGCTGCGCAGCAGTTTAAGAATCAGCGCGCCAGAGCTGAGCCACCCCAAACTTCAGCCCCTTGCTTTCGATGGCAGGTCGGTGTGGGGTTTAGGGTTTAGGGTTTAGGGTTTAGGGTTTAGGGTTTAGGGTTTAGGGTTTAGGGTTTAGGTCTGGAGAGTATAGGGCATAGGGTGTAGGCTTTTAGCCCCTTGGGGCCCTTCGCTGATCTCCACCCAGCCTCAAAGACCTGAAACCCAGAGACCTTCAGGCGAGGCCTAAACCTGCACCCTAAGCCCTTGAGCCCTCTACCATCTCACTAAGCCCTTTTAGGGTCTCTGCCGACCCACAGCGGAAACTGATGCGGCCATGATACGCTGCTGTGCTCTGGCGCGCGGCGCTCAGCCATGTAGGGTTGAGGGATGAGGGGGTTTAGGGTTTAGGGTTTAGGGTTTAGGGTTTGGGGGGTTTAGGGTTTGGGGGGTTTAGGGGCTCCCAAGCCTTTCAAGAACCTACCTTTGGTGTTCGCTGCAATGCGCTCGGCCCACCACGTCCTTTTAATTTGGGGTCTAGCTGAAGAGCCCGCCCACCCAAACAAATACCTTGATTGGTTTAGGGTCATCTACTGGGAAAGGGCCGGTCTTCAGTTTCAGGAGAAGGGGCTTGGGCTTTGGGGTTTGCGGGTTTGGGGGTTGAAGGGTTTAAGAGGTTGAGGATTTCAAGGGTTCAGGGTTTTACGGCTTAGGATGAACCTATCTTGTGTATGGGAGGCCTGCATAAAGAGTACCTAGATCCAATTGTATCAGCTGGCATCTGTCATTTATCTAGGGTTTCGAGTTCTGCAGAGTGGGGCCTGCTGGAGGCCTTGCTACTGACAACCTATGTTTTCCTAAACCAACCCTAAACCCTAAACCCTAAACCCCAAACCCTAACCCTAAACCCTAAACCCTAAACCCTAAACCCTAAACCCTAAACCCTAAACCCTAAACCCTAAGCCCTAAACCCCAGCAGCCTATCGCGCCTCTACGGCGTCCTCTTGTGTTAGAGAAGAAAGGGTTGTCGGGTGTGGCGGGTACACGTGGCGCGTTGGAAGGGCAGGGTTCGTGCGAGTTTGGGGCTTGGTGTAGGGCTTTAGGGGGCTAAATCTTGAACTCTGGACCCTAAACCCTAAACCCTAAACCCTAAACCCTAAACCCTAAACCCTAAACCCTAAACCCTAAACCCTAAACCCTAAACCCTAAACCCTAAACCCTAAACCCTAAACCCTAAACCCTAAACCCTAAACCCTAAACCCTAAACCCTAAACCCTAAACCCTAAACCCTAAACCCTAAACCCTAAACCCTAAACCCTAAACCCTAAACCCTAAACCCTAAACCCTAAACCCCCCAAACCCCAAACCCCAAACCCCAAACCCGAAATTCCGCGGGCAAATGCCGATAAGCCCATCCATTCCCAGGGTGCTCGCTTGCACCGTGCACTGCGAACAGACCAGCAAGGCCGGGGATAAAAACTAGCGCCGTAAGACAAAGCGGGTTTAGGGTTGAGGGTTTAGGGTAAGCCCTAGACCCTAAACCCTAAACCCTAAACCCTAAACCCTAAACCCTAAACCCTAAACCCTAAACCCTAAACCCTAAACCCAGATGACGGCCCGAAATCCTCGCCAGGATAAGGAGAAGGCGGAGAAGACCCTGAAGGAGTCGATCGAAGCAGCGAGCATCATCCGAGCCACGGGGCCGGTGGCGCTGGCCGGTTTGGGTTTAGGGTTTAGGGGTTAGGGTTTAGGGTTTAGGGTTTAGGGTTTAGGGTTTAGGGTTTAGGGTTTAGGGTTTAGGGTTTAGGGTTTAGGGTTTAGGGTTTAGGGTTTAGGGTTTGGGGTCTAGGGTCTAGGGTCTAGGGCTTAGGGTTTAGGGTTTAGGCGGTGGCCTTTGTGAGTGACCCACCAAAACTCTGCCCTTAGATTCACACCCAAACCCTAAATCCCCCTAAGCCATGAGTTTTTGTGGGTCGCTCAGAAACGCCGCGGCCCAAACCCAAAGCCTGAACCCTAAACCCTAAACCTGAAACCCGAACCCTTAATAAAATCCTAAGCCCGACGCCCTTCGACGTTCGGGTTTTGGAAGGGTTTGGAGTTTGGGGGTTGAGCTTCTCTGTGAAGGCTGTAGGCGACCCTGTCAAGTGAAATCTACGAAAGCCGTCACTTCAAAGCGGGGCTTCATGGATGCGAGTGGTGTGTTGCTCGTTCGGCGTGTTCTCCGTGCTCAGAGATGTGGGTCCCAGGCCCTAGACCCTAAACCCTGAACCTCTCTTTCATAATGCTTGGACTTGAGATGCTGAGCCCTAAACCCTAAACCCCAAACCCTAAACCCTAAACCCTAAACTCCAACGTACCCAGCCTGCAGCCTGAACCGACGAAGCTCCAAGATGCCGAAAAGCCTTGCGGCAGCCTGCCGCTGAGCCTCGAACCTTGAAGAACCCAACCCTAAACCCTAAACCCTAAACCCTAAACCCTGAACCCTAAACCCTAAACCCTGAACCCTGAACCCTAAACCCTAAACCCTAAACCCTTAAGAAGCCTACACCCTCGACCGGTATCCGAAAGTTAGAAGTTCTAGTCGGGTTACAGAAGTATCGTTTCTTGTATTTCAACAATCACCAAAAAGACTAGGCCCTTGGGGCATCTTGTATTTCCCCTATTTGGGTTTAAGAGGATCATGTGCAGGAATATTTTTCAGGGGGTCCCCAAACCCCGAACCCGAAATCCGAAACCCTAAACCGTAAACCCGCCCTCCAAGACCTCTTCAACGACGCCAGTACGACAACTCCTCTGCCTGCACCTGGCCTGAATGCGCCCCTACCTGCGAGGCGGCGGTGGGGTTTAAGCTTTCGGCTTAGGGTCTAGGGTCTAGGGTCTAGGGTCTAGGGTTTAGGGTTTAGGGTTTAGGGTTAAGAGTTTAGGGTTTAGGGTTTAGGGTTCAAGGTCAGGATTCAGGGCTCAAGTTGTTTTTTTTCTGCGGATTTTGGCTTAGGAGTATGCCGGGATTTCGTCGGCATATATCTCTGCATTATGGCCCATATGGACCCTACTCACAAGCGTCCGTAGTATAAAAAAGAGACCACCCATGTCCGGCTACCGGTTTACACATCCCCAGCAGATCAGCCTATGCCCTTGGGCAGAAGGGTCTCGGGTTTAGGGTTTGGGGTTTAGGGTTTAGGGTTTAGGGTTTGAAATCAGCCCCTGAGTTCTGAATCAGGCATCAGCCCTTGAGCATCTTCGAACCGCGCATCATCTTGAATTCATGTTGGCTGAGCTGATTCTTCACCTCTTGCAGAGAACATCCTTCGTGAACCCCCTAAAGCCCTGAACCTTGAGCCCTATATCCCGAACGGTAACCTCGAACAGCCCTAAACGCCCTAAGCCCTGCTCTCCCCGCAGGACTGTGGCAGCAAGGGCATCGGCTCCTGCATGATTCCAGGCATAGATGAGTGTCCGTGGGGTGCCCCAGTGTGAAGCCCCGAAGAGAACCCGGAGGGCCACAACGTTAATTCCTGGGTTCGTGCTCCGGAGACTAAATTGGAGGTTTACAAGTACGGGATCCCTAATTTTGACCCCCAAATAGTAGGGTTCCCTTCTCATAAAGAACCCCCAGTAAGGTGCCCTTAATTTCAGAAACCCCAGTTTAGGTTCCCCTAACACGGGTCAAAGAGCAAGCAACATCGGCTTCGGTACAGCCTGGCAATCTTAACATAGGTTCGGGAACATCTGGAAGTGTTCCCTGATTCGCCAGGAGACCTGAAGAGCCCAAACCCCAAGCCCTCAACCCTAAACCCTAACACCCCCCCCCCCCCCCCCCCAAACGGTTTAGGGTTTAGGGTTTAGGTTTAGGGCTTAGGGTTAGGGTAGCCTAGACCCCAAACCCCCAAACCCCCCAACCGGGGCCGCCCAAAAACAGCAGCGCCGAGGTGGTCGGCGAAGTGTACGTTGGGCACTGCTTCTGTAGCAAAGGCTACTGCGCCCACGGGCCTGGGGGCCCCAGTCCACAAGGATCAGGGGTTCAGGGTTTCAGGGTTTTAGGGTTTAGGGTTTAGGCGCCCCCCAAGACCTTTTGGGGTTTTTAGGGTTTAGGGTTGAGGGTTTGGGGTTTGGGGTTTAGGTTGAGGGTTTAGGGTTCAGGGTTTTGGGGGGGAAACAGCGGCTCAGGGCCTACGTCTTCAAGGGTTTAAAGGGTTGAAAGGGTTTTACAGGGTTCAAAGGCGGGTTTAGGGTTGGGTTTAGGGTTCAACCCCTAAACCCCTAAGCCTTTGAGGGATTGGATGTGGTTTCAGAATGGGTAGGAGGCCAGCGGCTTTGGCTTTGAAAGTTGATAGCCGTACTGAGATGACTGAGACGCCAGGGAGCCGTCGTTTTTGGGGGTACCCTTGAGAGTGCACGGACCCTAAACCCTAAACCTTAAATCTAACCAACCTCTTCCGGCCTCGAAAGAGCACACAAATTTAATAAAGACACAAAGGAAAACACAACAAAACAAACACAAACAAAGCTCAGGTTTAAGATCAGCCCCCCCCCCCCCCCCAGGTGCCTAAGCTTGAAGAGTTCCGTGACTCTTCCCCCTTCCAAAGCAGCCGGAGTAGGGCTTTGGCTCTAGGGCTGAGGGTTCAGGGTTCAGGGTGTAGGGCTACCCTAACCGCCAAACCTTCAACTCGAGGACCTCTCAACCGAAGCCTCAGGTCGCAGTGCAAGTTTCGCCACTGCCGCCTTGGGGCGATGCCGCCCACGTACCCGGTGAGCAATAGCGCCGGGGGGCGCAGCTTCAGGGCTTTTAGGGGTTTAGGGTTTAGGGTCAGGGTTTCTAGGTTTTACAGGGTTGATATAAGTGTTTACAGGTTTCATAGGGTTCATGGGCTTTGTGGGGCAGAATCTTTTTATGGTGGGTTTGTACAGGGTTCATATAAAGGGTGTATAGGGTTAAGTTGGAATTTGGGTGCTTCGCGGAAGTGGGGTGGTTTCTGCTTGGGTCACAGAGGCTTAGAAGCCCAAATTGCTGGGAATTAATAGGAACTCGAAACCCGAAACCCGAAACCCTAAACCCGAAAGCCTAAACCCTAAAGGGTTCAAAGGAACACCGTAAAGCCTCCTGAGACCCCAGGCCCGCCAGCTTGCGGACCTCGGGCCCCCCCTGCCATCCAATGCGCTGCAGCCCAGTTGAGGTCTGTGTTTGTTAGGGTTTAGGGTTTCGGGTTTAGGGCTAGGGTTTAGGGTCCAGGGTTCAAGGTTTAGGGTTCAATGCTGGAGAGTTTAGGGTTCCGAGGGCGGTGACAGTGCTGTCCTCTCTTGTCTCTCCCGCCTCTTCGATGCCTTTCTGCCTGAATCCTGTCCCTCTCCTATTTGTTTGTGTTCCCCATATCTCGCTCTTGCCCTCTTCCTTCTGACCCTAAACACTAAGCCCTAGCTCCTCTCCTTTCTCGAGCTTCCCCTGTTTTTGAGGTTAGGGTTTAGGGTTCAGGGTTTAGGGTTTAGGGTACGAGACATGTCGGGAAGGGTGTCCTGACTGGACCTGTGGGGGGTTGACCTGAGTCCTTGTGCTCTTTGCGGCGCCCGCAGCTCTACCCTACACCCGGAATTATGGGCCACCCTAGACTTCTAAACCCGACACCTTATACATTGCTTGGCGGCCTCTTAAGTAGGGTTTCTGTTTTGTAGGGGTTCTTATTAGGGTATCTAGATATTTTATTATGGTATAAGGGTGACTCCACCCATAATCCTTCAAATCTCTGGCGATTGTGCGATCATGATCGACGTCAACAGCGAGCCACCATTTTGGGTCAGCCCCCTACTTACATGCGTAGCCCCCGCCTGTAGCGTCAAGTGTTCTAGCGATGGTAGAGTTCAGAACACGATGGACACAGCCCTAAACCCCAATTAAACCCCTAAACCCTAAACCGTAAACCCTAAACCCTAAACCCTAAACCCTAAACCCTAAACCCTAAACCCTAAACCCTAAACCCTAAACCCTAAACCCCAAACCCTAAACCCTAAACCCTAAACCCTAAACCCCAAACCCTAAACCCTAAACCGAGATCCCTAAACCCTAAACCCTAAACCCTAAACCCCAAACCCTAAACCCTAAACCCAGATCCCTAAACCCCCTAAAGCCACCGTGTCTTTCTTACTTTCCTCTTGTGGCCGCTCACGGCAGTGCTCAGGCTTTCAGACTTGCGGGCTTGGAGGATTTTGCGCTGAGGGTTCAGGGCTTCATGAGCTGTAGGGGTCTAGGGTTTAGGGTTTAGGGTTCAGGTTTAGGGTTTAGGGTTTAGGGTTTAGGGTTTAGGGTTGAGGGTTGAGGGTTGAGGGTTGAGGGTTTAGGGTTTAGGGTTTAGGGCTTAGGGAAACCCTATATGAACCCTCAACCCTGCCCCGATGAAGCCCTGAAGCCCGTCTGAGGCGACGGTGGAGGAATGGCACGAGTTCTTCGTAGGCTCGACGAAATTGCCACTCCGGCCTGTCTCAGAAGAGTGGAGCTATCCGGGGCTCAGGTCGCTTTGTGTTTGTTGCTGCTTGGGATTTAGGGTTTAGGGTTTAGCTTAGGGCATCTCAGCGTTTTGGTCTTTTTCCTCCTAGCAATCGACATCGAACTAACATGAGGAGCAAGGAATGGGGAAGAAGAGAGCAAGAAAGCCTCTAGCCCTGATCCCCCAAACCCTAAGCCCCGGGCCCTCGCGCTAGGAGATCCCCGAGTCCACGCTGGACCTGGTAACCTTGTTCGGATTTGGGGTTCAGGGTTCAGGGTTTGGGGTTTCGGGTTTAGGGCTCAGAATTGTGGGGTTTAGCTTTCTGTCGTGAAGCGGATTCTAGCAGAGCCCTCCCCCCCATCTGACATCCCCTTCATGATGCAGTTCTCGGTTCAGGGTTCGGGGCTTACACCCCTAACCCTAAACCCTACATTGCCAAACCCTACTAAGCCCTAAACCCTAAACCCTAAACCCTAAACCCTGAACCCTAAACCCTAAACCCTAAACCCTAGACCCTAGACCCTCGACCCTAAACCCTAAACCCTAAACCCTAAACCCTAAACCCTAAACCCTAAACCCTAAACCCTAAACCCTAAACCCTAAACCCTAAGCCCTAGTCCCTAAATTCCTACACTCCAGGGCTTCTGAACCTGAAGCCTCCGTCTTTTCCAGTGCGCGGGCGCCTCAGTGGCAGGCCCTTGGTGCTCCTGGCCGTGGGGGTGGCCATGGCCCCTCGGCCTGCAAGCCCTCAAGCAGGGTTTAGGGTTTAGGGTTTAGGGTTTAGGGGAGTGGGGGGGGGGGGGGGGGGGGGCGGGGGGCTAGGGTTTACGGTTTAGTTTAGGGTGCGGGAAGTCGATCCTGACTTCAGCCGGGAGTCTTTGTGCTCAGAACCTTCAACCCTAAACCCTAAACCCTAAACCCTAAACCCTAAACCCTAAACCCTAAACCCTAAACCCTAAATCTTAAACCCCTAAATCCTCCATCCTCGACCCTCGCGCCACCCGCGCCCCAGTAGCCTGCTGCAGGGGGTGGTCACCTGCCTCTGCATCTTCGGGCACTGCGCCTGGGACACCGGGGTTCAGGGTTTCAGGGTTTAAGGGTTGAAACGGTCTAAGGGTTCAGGGTTTAGGGTTTAGGGTTCCACGGACTTCGAAGTCTTTTGTGAAAAGGGTGGGGGTCAGGGTCGGTATCCTAGACCCTAAATCCTAAACCCTGAACCCTAAACCCTAAACCCTAAACCCTGGCGGGTCCACAACAGACCCGCGCAAAACTGTGGCCCCACCAGCAAACCTGAGATGCAGGACTTAGGTCACCGCCTTTAGTGTTGAGAAATGACGCCTTTCTGCTCCCTAGTGCGCCTAAAAGCAAGAACTTCCAGCCATTTCTGCCCAGAAGAAGGTTTAACCTTTTCGGAACGGATTAGACGATGTAAACCATGGACGTCATCATGCTTGGGCCATGGATGCTCTCTTCTCATCAGAGCAGAATAGACCGTGGACGTCATCATGCTTGGACCCTGGATGCTCTCTTCCCAGAACGGAGTAGACCATGGACGTCATCATGGTTGGGCCATGGCAGTGCAGAAAACATGTAGACCATGGACGTCATCATGCTTGGGCCATGGATACTCTCTTCCCAGAACGGATTAGACTATGGACGTCATCATGGTTGGGCCATGGATGCTCTCTTCTAACTATGGTGAAGCAAACGTGTTATTTTGACCCAGGGCTGGGCAGAAGCAGCTGCAAGCAAGACAGGGCTTAGTTTAGGACACGTCGAAAGTGCGAAGTAGTGCAAAAAACCCCACAAATACCAGTGCAGTCTACGGATGCCCAAAAAATTGTTGGATAATTTTGGATGAAAATTGCGGGGATGAGGTGATGGGCGAAACCCAGGAAACATCGGTATTTGCAGGGGATTCTGAGGGCAACAGAGCTAAACTGCCGAAAACGCGTGGGTCTGTTATGGCCCCGCCTAGCCCTAAACCCTAAACCCTGAACCCTACGGTTCAGGGGTGAAGGTCTCTGCTCAGACGTGCCACAGGGCTTAGGGGCTTTAGGGGCTTTGGGCTGGAGGGGTCGCTCTTCAGATGGTTCTTATTTCGGCGACTAGAGCCTACACCCTTACAAAGCCCTAAACTCTAAACCCTAAACCCTAAAACCCCAAACCCTAAACCTTAAACCCTCTCTTACTATGTATATTTAAACCCTAATGACCTTCGTCGGCATATTGTTTTTTTTCTGGGCCCTAAACCCTGACCCCCTTCGTCGGCATATTGTTTTTTTCCACCCGGGGGCCCCCCCAAAACACCCCAAATGAGGGGGACCCCAGGATCGGCCCCGGCCGCAGTTCAAAATGCGATTTTTTAGTATTGAAATCGACGGTTCTGGGTGGCCTCCTGTTTTCTGGATTTTTGACCAAAACCGGGGGGGGGGGCCCTAAAACCCTGACCCCCTTCGTCGGCATATTGTTTTTTTCCCCCCTGGTGGGCCCTAAACCCTGACCCCCTTCGTCGGCATATTGTTTTTTTCCCCCCTGGTGGGCCCTAAACCCTGACCCCCTTCGTCGGCATATTGTTTTTTTTCCCCCTGGTGGGCCCTAAACCCTGACCCCCTTCGTCGGCATATTGTTTTTTCCCCCCCTGGTGGGCCCTAAACCCTGACCCCCTTCGTCGGCATATTGTTTTTTTTTTCCCCCTGGGTGGCCCTAAACCCTGACCCCCTTCGTCGGCATATTGTTTTTTTTCCCCCCTGGTGGGCCCTAACCCTGACCCCCTTCGTCGGCATATTGTTTTTTTCTCCCCCTGGTGGGCCCTAAACCCTGACCCCCTTCGTCGGCAATTGTTTTTTTTCCCCCCTGGTGGCCCTAAACCCTGACGCCCTTCGTCGGCATATTGTTTTTTTTGCCCCCCTGGTGGGCCCTAACCCTGACCCTTCGTCGGCTATTCCCCCCGTGAGCCCTAAAACCCTTACCCCTTCATCGGCAATTGTTTTTACCCCCCCCCCCCCGCCCCCCCCCCCCCACCCCCCACCCCACCCCCCCCCCACCCCCCCCCCCCCCCCCCCCACCACCCCCCACCCCCCCCCCCCAACCCCCCCCACCCCCCCCCACCCCCCCCACCCCCCCCCCCCCCCCCCACCCCCCCCCACCCCCCCTCCAACCCCCCCCCCCCCCCCCCCCCCCCCCCCCCCCCCCCACCCCACCCCACAAAAACCCACCCCCACCAGACCCCCCACCCCCCGCCCCCACCCCCCCCCTTCCCACCCCCCACCCCCAACCCCCATCCATCACGTGAGGAAGTTTGAGAGTTTAGATTTCGGGTTTTGGGCCAACTGGATCTTGATGTTCCCCTTGAGAGGGAAAGTTTGCCTCCAAAACCACCCCAAATGAGGGGCCACCCCCCAACCCCACCCTCCCCGGTTTGAGAATTAGATTTTGGGTTTCGGCCAATTGGACCTTGAGCTTTTAAGCCTACTGGGAATGTATTGAGTGGACTTTGTATTTTCTCAATGTTATGGGTTTCTTGGGTGGGTGGGGTTTTATTCCAGCCCTTGACAAGCTGCTTGACTAGTGAATGCTCGGACTTGAGATGCTGAACCCTAAACCCTAAACCCTAAGCCCTGAACCTAAACCCCCGAACCCCAAACTGTAAACCCTAAACCCCAAGCCCGACATCGCCAGGAGCCTCAGTGGATGCCTACGCGGGGGGCCTGGGACGCGCGTTCGGGGCGTCTCATTTCTGAGTGTCTGTACGGTTTCGGGTTTCGGGTTTAGTGTTCAGGTTTTAGGGTTCGGGGTTTGGGGTTTAGGGTTCCGGGTTTAGGGCTTGGGGTTGAGGGTTTGGGGTTTAGGGTTTAGGGTTTAGGGTGTGAGGTTTGGGCTTCTGTACTTGGAGGTTCATGGTACTGATAAGTGGGGTGACCAGCACTCCATATGATTATGGCTACAACCAGTTCTGAATAGAATTCCCCTGCTTAGAACCTTGCTTACAAGTACCCATGAACCTCTCAGTGGAGTTTAGGGCTTAGTGGTTGGTGCTAGCATCTTAGCGGACAAGAGTGGGGCTCTTAGAGCCCTTACAATTTAGGGATTTAGGATTTAGGGGTTGCAGTTTGGGTTCAGAGGCTTCGGGTTTACGGTGGTGATCTTGGTTAGGGTTTTTGGGGGCCTGGGGTTGAGGGTTCAGCTTCAAAGGATCCCGTGTAGGAATGCTTTTTGAAAGCAACCCCGCGCCAGGATTCAGTCCCTTGAGCTCGGACCGTGCAACCCACGGCAACCTTCTAAGCTTTGGCTTGCACACTCCTATGATTGCAGCTGAAACATCGGCTTTATCAGCAATAACCCTAAACCTGAGGTCTGGAGAAGGGCTGAGGGTTCAGGGTTCAGGGTTCAGGGTTTAGGGTTTAGGGTTTAGGGTAGCCGCGGTGGGGTCAGGTCTCCCATCATCCTCCTGGTGCTCTGCCTTCTCACTGCCCTCTCCTCAGGAGCTTGGGGATATGGCCCGATTGTCTTCTAGGGCTTTTCTGAGCTCAGAGTTTTAGGGTTCAAGGTTTTGGGGGTTGAGGTTGCGTATTTTGGTTGGACTTCATAAAGCCCTTCAGAGCCTGCAGAAAGCAAGCTTCGTTCAACCCAAAATCCTCAACCCAAAGCCCTAAACCCCTAATCGCAGGCGTCTTCGGATGTCGGGTCTTTGCTGTTTCGTCTGGTCTTTCGTCGAGGTCTCAAGCATTGCGGCCCTAAATCCTCAAGCCTGAGACCTAAGCCCTAAACCCCAAATTACCCTAAACCCCAAGCCCTGAAAACCCAGACATCTGCAAAGGTTGCGTTCATCTCCTTCGGCGTGGTGTCGCGCACACACCTCGGCCTGGCTTCATTTAGTTTAGGCTTTGGAGTTAAGGGTTTAGTGGGTTTAGGGTTTTAGGGTTTAGGGTTTAGGGTTTGGAGTTAAGGGTTTAGTGGCTTTAGGGTTTAGGCTGTAGGGTTTAGGGTTTAGGGTGCGGGGTTGAGGGTTTAGGGTGTGGGCTCAGGGGTTTAGGACATAGGTTCAGGGTTTAACAAGACCCTAGAACCCTAGAACCCCAGAACCCCAAAACCCGAAAACCCCAAAACCCCAGAACCCCAGAACCCCAGAACCCCAGAACCCCAGATTCCTAGAACCCTAAACAAAACCCCAGAACCCTAAAACCCAGAACCCTGAAACCCAGAAGCCTGGAACCCTCGAGCCTCATCCCTGGGTGGACTCTGAGCCCCTAAGCTTCAGGACTTGACAGTGCTTGCAGTTTGGCCCGACGCCTTATACACCAACCCTAAATTCTAGACCCTAGACCCTAGACCCTAGACCCTAAACCCTAAACCCTAAACCCTAAACCACCCACAGCTCTAAACCCTAAGCCCTAAACCCTGAAGCCTAACTTTTTAGGGCCCCGCCAGCACGAAACCCGAAGCCCCGAACCCAAACCCAAATTCTATGTACCCTACACCCAACACCCTAAACCGTCCCTAAACGCCCTGAAAGCCCTAAAAGCCCTAAAAGCCCTAAAAAGCCCTAAAAGCCCTAAAAGCCCTAAACCCTAAACCCTAAACCCCATAGACCCCCCCATAAACCCCCCATAAACCCCCCCATAAGCCCCCCAAAAGCCATGGCGTCCTCGGGATGTCCGCTTCGGGGATCCCGGGAGCCGGCGCCCGCGCCGGCCGGAGAGTGCCAGAAACCCAGGTTTAGGGTTGAGGGTTTGGGGCTTAGGGTTTGGGATTTAGGGTTTAGGGTTTAGGGTTTAGGGTTTAGGGTTTAGGGTTTAGGGTTTAGGGTTTGGGATTTAGGGCTTAGGATTTAGGAGGGTTTAGGGTTCAGGGTTTAGGGCTTAGAGGTTAGGGTTGGCAGGGCGCAGAAGCTGTGAAGGTTGGGGTGCAGACTAGCTTCGACAGCCTCGTGAAATGCGAAGAGCAGCCATGGCCCGATTGTGGAGGGCCATCTAACACTTTTACCACACTACGCCGGAACGGGCTCCTGATTGAGTGCTAGCGACCTCGGAGACAAGGCCCCCCCCCCCCCCCCCCACTGTAGGGGGGGCCCTAAGCCTTGAGTTCAGGCACAGGGCTTAGGGATTTTCAGGGCTTAGGGTTTTTTGGGATTAGGGTAGGGTTTTTTGCAGAACGGCTTAGGTTTTGAGGCTTAGGCTTTAGTGGGTTTGAGGCTTAAGGTTTGGGAAGTAGGGTTCTCACGGCCTGGACCCTAAACCAAACTCGAAGCCCACGCGCATATGTGTAGGCTTTAAGGTGGAGCCTTAGGGATTCTAAGACCCTCAACCCTCAACCCTTGTGCCTGAATCACTCCCCAAAGCACCGTGGACAGGTGGAGAACAGGGTTTAGGATTCAGGGTCTGAGGTTTAGGATTTAATATTTGGAGTTCAGGGTGTAGGGTGTAGGATTTAGGGGTCCAGGTGTATAGGGTTCAGGGTGAGTGCGAATCTGGCCACTGAGGCCCCATGCGCGCCGCAAACGGCGAGGCGGGGAATAGAAAGCGGAGCATGCCAACGTGCTTAGTTTCCAGGATTTAGGGCTGCGACTCTAAGCCCTGCAGTTCAAGTGAAGCGCCACCCAGAAGTGATCCCAAGCGCCCAGGGTTTAGGGTACTGAGGAGACAGCTCGAGCAAGCCCTTAACCCTGAAGCCCTGAACAGTTATAGAGGCTCTCAGTGTCAGCTCACCCTAAGCCCCAAACCCTAAACCCTAACCCCTAAACCCTAAACCCTAAACCCTCTACCCGAACCCTAAACCAAAAACCCTAAACCCTAAACCCTAAACCCTAAACCCTAAACCCTAAACCCTAAACCCTAAACCCTTCTGAGGTCCTGAACCCCCGCAACATGATGCCGGAGATGCCGCAGACCCCTGCGGAATCGCAGACCATGGACCTGAACAAAGACCGTGGCCGGGCTGGGTTTAGGGTTAGGGTTTAGGGTTTAGGGTTGAGGTTTTTCGGTTTTCAGGGTTGAAGGCTTTCACTAGAGCTTAGCGTTTAGGGTTCAGGTTTAGGGTTTAGGGTCAGGGTTTCGGGTTTGTGGTTAAAGAGTTTCAATAGGTTTCAGGGTGTAGGTTTCCGGGCTTCACCCCGCCTTATCGTTTACCGTGGAGGTGTTGCAGGTTCAATCTCACTACCGCCACCCCGAAATGGGACCTTCTTGGTTGCAAGCCTCAGAGCATCTCATACCTGTACTGTCTACGGGATCTCCAACCTCATCACCCTACCCCATAAAGCTTAAACCCCTGAACCCTAAAACCCTACACCCAAAGCTCCCGAACTCGAATCCCTTCCGAAGCAGGGCCCCAAACCCTAAACCTTAAACCCCTAAACCCTAAACCCTAAACTCTAAACCCTAATTCCTAAACCCAAACCCCTGAACCTTAGGCCCTACACCCTAAGCCCTAAACCCTACACCCTAAAATGTGTGAGGTGAGGTCGAGGTCTCCATGCCAAGCCTCAGCCACACCAGACCCCTAAACCTTAAACCCCTGACCCTAAACCCCAAACTAGGGTTATATAAGGGTTTAGGGTTTAGGGGTTATATAGGGTTTAGGGTTTAGTCCCCACTAAGCAGTGCACATCCACCCTGAGCCATACACCTTAAACCTGACCTCTGAACCTTACACTCGAAAACTTCCGAGGTGAGGTCTCCTCCATCCCGAAGACGGGCGAGACGGGCAACTGGGTTTACCCATCGCCTCAGCAGCGACCTGGACGCAGGAGTGTGCTCCGAGACCTTGAGAGATCAAGTGCCTCAACTCTAAACCCTAAACCCTAAACCCTAAACCCTAAACCCTAAACCCTAAACCCTAAACCCTAAACCCTAAACCCTAAACCCTAAACCCTAAACCCTAAACCCTAAATCCTAAAGGTCGTTAGGGTGTAGGGTTTCAGAGTTCAGTTTTTCTGCCTTGTAGTAGTTTCGGGGACAGATTTTCGTGAACAACTACTGTGCGGGTAGCTCTCTAAGTTATGGTCCGCGTGTTGGGTAGTTATTCTGAACACAAAGGCCTGTACGATTATAGCTACCGCAACGGGGCCTGAATACCGGACTCGCCCCGAACGCCCGAAATACTGATAGAGTATGATTTTTATCCACGTGTAACTGCACTCCCGAAATCCTACACCCCAAACTTCCCTGAACTTCCCTAACCCCCAAACCCTAATTCGCCCCAATTGCATATCTAAGGTTCTACCACGCCCTCCTCCGCAAGAACAAGGAGGCGGAGGCTGAGGCCGCCTGGTGTCCAGGGCCCACAAACCCTAAACCCTAAACCCTGAACCCTAAACCCTGAACCCTGAACCCTAAACCCTAAACCGTAAACCCCAGTCCCCAAAATCCTAAACCCTAAACCCTAAACCTTTGTCTCTGGAACCCCTCTTCTGTTTCTTCGCCTTGCTTTGCAACAGGAAGTCCAACCCCGTCTTCGCTTAGGTTACAGGGGGGAACCCAGACCCCAGGGTTTAGGGTGTAAGTTTTGAGGTTGAGGGTTGAGGGTTGAGGGTTTTCAGGTTTTGGGTCTGGGGTTCAGGGTGTAAGGTTGAGGCTTCAGGGTTCAGGGAAGATGCTTCTTCCACTCCATCAACCCGAAATCCCTAACCCTGGGGCAGAGAACGGAGGCGCCACAAGAGACGCTCACATCTGAAATTTGCAGGTGCTGTGCAGCCACCAGAGGCAACGACTGCTTGACTTGGTCTACACCGACATTTCCCGGGGGAAGCGGGCTGGCGAGCAAGCCAGGATGTGGGAAGCCCCCCTCTGGGGATGGAATATCGAATTGGTGGAGGGGGCATGGACCTGTTGCACATCTTGCATCTTGGTGTCTTGCGTGATCTATGTGGCAGCAGCATCAAGGTGCTACTCAACCGCAAGGGCTACTATTCTGCTGCCAAACAAGGCAAGGGTAAGGAATCCCGAAATAGGATGCCCTGTACAAACTCCCTGGGTATTCCTACACTCAGGTTCGCTGAGAGTGTGTGGGACGCTCACCCCTACAAAGAAACCCTCTTTTCCACTAGGAAACCTTGGGCACGAAGGCCGCGCATGCGGCCTACTCCGGGGGCGTAGGCAATTTCCAATATTTCCCCTGCCAATCACTATGTTTAGGGTTTGGGGTTTCAGGGTTTAGAGAACAAAGTGCCCAAAATGCCGGAAGCCCAAAACCCTGAACCCTAAAGCCTAAACACCCTGAACCCCAAACCCTAAACCCCAAACCCTAAACCCCAAACCCTACACCCCCCTTTTTCGGCCTCCTGGCCCCTGGGAGACCATGGATGCCGTGGTCTACGCGCACAACGTCACCAACGAGCGGTCCTGGAGGCATCGGCTCCCTTTTGGCGGTTTAGGGTTTGGGGTTTAGGGTTTAGGGTTTAAGGGAATGGGGAATGGGGAATGGGGAATGGGGTTTACAGGGTTTAGGGGTCTACGGTTCAGGGTTTCGGGTTTGGGGCCTGGGGTTTAGGGTTTAGGGTCCTTTTGGGGTTTAGGGTTTAAGGGTTGGGTGCCAGATGTAGAAAGGTTGAGAGGCGTAGTATGCCATTGAGGGCGAGGTTACGGCAGCCGCGCGATAGGACTTTTGGAATGTTTGGGTGCTGGATGTTGACCAGTGGTTTAGGCCTGGTTGAAAAGGAAGTAAATAAACCCCTACACCCTAAAGCGCCTAAACCCTATATCCTGAACCCTAAACCCTAAACCCTGAACCCTGAACCCTGAAAAAGCAGATGGCTTGCAAACCTTGTAGCACCTGCGTCGATGTGCAGGTGAGATAAAAACCTTTCAGAGCCTGAAGGGTTTCGCCAAAATCTTCAGAGTCTGAAGGGTTTCCTTACATCCTTCAAGGCCTGAAGGGTTTCCCTATGTCCTTGAGAGCCCTTCAGGTGTGATCTTCAGTAGCTTCATTTTGTCTGCATTTTTTCTCTCGAAAAACAGTCGCATTTTATATGTGCCAATTTTGTGGGGACGCCATACCGTGGGAGGAGGGGGGGGGTGGCTGAGCCCAAAAAGTTGAATGCGTGTATTTGTGAGGAAATGTGATACAATAAATCATGATGGGATGTTTTCGACTTCTTGCAGGTTCATTGTACTTGCGGTTTTTTTCACAAAACAGAAAGGATCGCACTGTGGCTTGGTGATCGGGCTGTCTGCGCGCAAATGGTGCCGAGACGAGGGTTGAAAACTCTTCAGAGCGTGAACGGTGAAGGGTCTCCCTAGAAGCCTTCAGAGCCTCAAGGGTCTGTAGCTGCTTCTGACACACGCAACCTTGACGCTGACAAGGCCCAGTACATGCACAAGCCTTGCTTGCGGTCGCTCCTGTTTTTTGTTCAGGTCCTTCCGGTCCTTACGTCGGACCTGCGCTCGCAGCGTGGGAAGCTTGCAGACGCCGGAAGCTTTCGGAACCTCGTTCTTCTTGCCACAGCATTTGGAAAGTGCCACATCCACCAAGGCCAACTTCACTCGCCTTCTAGGACGATGCGTGGTGCTGCCCTGAGATGGGGCGCACGCGAAGATGATTGTGATTCGGCTTGGCTACTTGCCAGAGCCGCGCCCCCGGACGGCTGGCAATTTTGGCAAGCTGGCAAACGGACTTGGGGGAACTTGCCAGAGCCGCCCCCAGACAGCTGGCAATTTTGGCAAGCTGGCAAACGGACTTGGGGGAACTTGCCGGAGGCGCGCCCCCAGACGGCTGGCAATTTTGGCAACCTGGCAAACGGACTTGGGGGAACTTGCCGGGGAGAGGGGGGGCTGGCAAGTCTCCACGGGGCCCCTTGCCAGGTTGCCAAAATTGCCGGGCCGAGGCCGGCAAGCCTCCGCGCAGCACTCGTGCCAGGTTGCCAAAATTGCCGGGCCGGGGCCGGCAGCCCCACGCAGCACCCTTGCCAGGTTGCCAAAATTGCCGGGCCGAGGCCGGCAAGCCCCACGCAGCACCCTTGCCAGTTGCCAAAATTGCCGGGCCGAGGCTGGCAAGCCTCTGCGCAGCACTCTTGCCTGCCAAAATTGCCGGGCCGAGGCCGGCAAGCCTCCGCGCAGCACTCTTGCCACTTGGGTTGGCAAGACTGACGTGCAGAGTCCAGCAACCACGCAGCTGCCAGCTTGGCTCTCTCGTCTACAGCACTCCCCAGACCCCCCTGAAGGCTGTGCGCAGCCAGCCTGAATGAAAGTGAGCAGCATCACATCTTTCATTCGACGGCGTCCGAAGCTGCAGGAATGCAGCCGCAGAGCCGTGGGACCGCAGTTCTGCAGCTGGCGAAATCGCACTTTAGAGCGCTTTTGGAGGGCGAGCGTTCCGTCAAAAATCGCAGTAATGCATTTCTTCAGGACCGGGGTGAAAGCGGAGGACGAAGTCCGGAGCCCCCCGGTCCTTCAGAGATGCATTACTGCGCGATTCTTGTTGCGAGCACCCAAAAGATTTCGCTAGCTGCAGAACTGCGGTCCCACGGCTCTGTGGCTGCATTCCTGCAGCTTCGGACGCCGTCGAATGAAAGATGTGATGCTGCTCACTTTCATTCAGGCTGGCTGTGCACAGCCTTCAGGGGGGTCTGGGGAGTGCTATAGAAGAGAGAGAATAAGGGATCGAAACGACGGGCCTCAAAGAGTCGAAGGTCTCGGAAACCCTTATGCTTGCTATGCTTGCTTGGCATATGCATGGTTGCTCTAGTCGCAGCCGTTTTGCTCTGGGAACGCGTGCTTTGCGCGGAACAAGTGAATGAAAAGACTGGAGGTGCACCCTCCAATATGGAGATCGAAGATTGCTCAAGTCATCCCGACCCGATTTCCACAAGACTCGGCTCCTTTACCACTCGCCGCAATTTCGGGTTGTCCTTCTGGTAAAGGGTGACGCAGTCCTGGTCAAGGGCATGATCGTCATCAGCGAGACTCTTGGAAGGAAGCTGAGACTTCGAAGGTCTTGCATCAAGGCACAATGGCAGCCAGACCATGATGCTGGCTTGACTTATGGGCTGGACATAGTGCAAGCATCGCAGAGCACGCAGGGAAAGCCGCAGCTGCATACGCAGCTGGCTTCTGTTCTGGCTCTGCGTGCTTGCCTCCCGCCAACATGGGCTGCCAGAAACGAGGCGAAGGCGGAGGTCCGAGAATCTTGCCGGGACAGGAGGGACAAGCTGGAGGCAGTGATGGAGCGAACCGCTCCCTTGCAAGGACAAGCCACTGCCATCAGGCAACGCCCTGCGTCGCATAGCGCCTTCAAACGCAGGGCCCGGTCCTTCCAGCGAAGACCCTCCGCGTCACAGCGTTGGGCAGGAATGCGTGGAGGTCAAGTACGTCGAAGCCATAGAGGACCCAACGCCGCTGAGCCTCCTGCAACGCACAGAGGTGTTGCCGAAGCCATGGAGGTTGCAGGCCATCGGCGCCAAAGAGGCCATGCTGCGAGGAGGCCGGCGATTCCTTGCCGAGTTTGATCGCCAGCAAGACAAGCCTCATCTTCCTCTCGAAGGCTGGGGCGCAGGGCTTTTCGCGCTGCCCAACATTTGGGGCAAGCTCGGCCCAAAGCAGTGCATTGCGGTCGTGGACGGGCAGGTCCTGAAAGGCCCAGTGGTGGCTTTTGGAGGACGCCGCTGATGCTTCCGCAAGACATCGAAGTTTGGAAAGCAGTCGATTTGCCGGCGCCGGAGCAAATGAGATACATCCCGGACAACTGCGTTATTTGCAGTTGTGAAGGCCTTGGCATCACTGCGTTGGCCGGGGGGGACTATGACGGGGATGTCGTCATGGTTTCAACAGACGCCGACACGCCGGATGGGCGCGCCGTCCCCAAGCTCCAGGCTGCGGCCAGCTTCGCCAAGGAGAACCTCCCCAAGACCGCGCCCCAGCCTTGCAACAGCCTGGTGGACTACATAAACCACTGTTGCAGGGCGCCGACGCCCCAGCTTCGCGGGGTCACGTGTGCCTGGGCAGAGCGAGCGCAACTTTCAGCGTGGAAGGCGAGGTTCCCGCTAAAGAAGAGGACACCAGCTCACCCGCCCCCTCCCGACACCTGTTTTGCAGAATCTGTTGTAATGTCAACTGTTGCAGTGGAGAGGGTTAGCGTTTCGAAACCAACACTGAAAATGATGCTAGCGCAGGATGCGGTACGCCTTCCAGTTGGGCAGCGTTGCCCACGCCGCGTACGATGCGCCGAAGAAGCACGACGCGAAGGCTTCGGCCCTGTTCTAGTCATGAATTGCATTGATATGGTTGGCGAGTCCAGATAGTTTCTGAGATACGTTCTAGAATGCCAGATCATCTCTGAAGCTATGTATTTCATGGTCAGGCAGTGGAGGACCTCGGGCGGCAGAGCTTGGCCAAGGCCAAGCTGAAGCAGTCGTGCAAGCGTTTTTCTCATTTTTTTGAACGAGCACTTCTGTGCGCCGTGTTTCGCAGTCAATCGGAGTAAGCCCTGGATGCAACTCTGCAAGCGGGGCACTCCCGACATGTCTTTAGGACAAATTTTCATGCCTATGGGCGAACTACGCCTTTCTGGCTCTGCTGGCGAATGCCTTCTTGCAGCTCTTCGCGCTAAACGGAACGTGCACGCAGAATGTTCCCTTGAGGGGGAACGCTCGGTCGTGCGGGACGTAGCTCGTCTGCTTGTCCATCGACTGCCCGGTTTTTGGGACTTCGTTTCCAACGGCGATGTTGATGGGCTTGTGGAGGAGGCTAAGAGGCCCCGACTGTTGAGGCGCTTGAAGAAGCCAAAAGCAATCTACGGAGCCCCGCTGCCATAATCCTTTATGTGCATGCCAGAATTATTTATCATCGGCCACGCCAGCTTTGCTAAACATGAACTCCAGTTGTTTCTTTCCGGCACCAGGACTGGCTGCATGATATAGCCAGCCTCAAAACTGCTGACGGCATAGCTAGGCTACTCAGCAGCAGATCTTGGGGGCTGTGAAGTGAACGCTGTCCACTTCCATTGTCACGCTCTGCACATAGGCAGGGAATCATGCCTGTGTGTGTGTGTGTGTGTGTGTGTGTGTGTGTGTGTGCGCCTCCGGCCGTTTCTGCTCTTCCCTAGAGGGAAGGCCTTTCGAGATCGCGCTGAGCCTAGGGGTGATGGATGTTCTTTGGATGGGACTTCCTACCGCTTCGACGGGGAGTCATATTGCGCAAGCCGAAGCCAGTCCCTTGAGTGCGGATCTCGTGCTACACTGCGCAGCCCAGCGCCCGCTTAAGAATGGCAAAGCAGCGACGGCTATGAAGTGGACGGTGCCTGAGGACCGCTTGATGTTCCAGTTTGTTGCATTGTGCCTTCCCCCCCGCCCCCCCCCCCAAAAAAAAAAAAGAAAAAAAAAAAAAAAAAAAAAAAAAAACAAAAAAAGACCAGGAAAAAAACCTGGTATTCCCCCCCCCCCCCCCCCCCCCCCCCCCCCAAGGAACCCAGGTCTGACCAGAGATCCGGGAAATGCAGGATTTGGGTTCCTGGGGCATCCAGGTTGAATGGGCCCCGATTCAGGTTGAATCGGCTTTCTTTTTGTCCAGTTTCCTATTCCCCAACTCTAAAGAGCAGGGTCCCCAAACCCTACGCCCTTTTTCGCTAAATCCTAATTCAGCTTTACTTTCAAATAAATCATGTTTTACAGTTTTCCTTTATATGACATTATTGTTACTTCGAGCATCATGTTTAAAAAGCAGTACAGCACCCTGTCCAAAAGTCAAGATGACTTGAAAACAATTGTTTCATGTGGCATACTACTGCAGCACACCGCAAGTATGTCAAAAGCGGCTTACGTTGCATTACAATGGAGCACGATACAGCGCAAATGGATATCATTGACTCTGACGGTTTAAACAAGACATCAAGCCGTTCGGCACAGAATGGAAAAGCGGGCCCCGCCAGGCGGGCCCCGCCAGGCGGCAAGCGGCTGATACTTTAGAAGGAACACTTTAGACTTCAAAGATCGCGCTAAAACATATTCGAAGTGCATTTTTGGGTATTCATGCATCAAGTCGCCCGCCTATCATAGAAGAGCGGGCCCGGCCAGCGGGCCCCGCCACACGGGTTTTCAAAGACAAGACGACGATTAGGCCAATCGATTTTTCTTTTAAACAAGCCATCAAGCCGTCCGGCGCGCTACTCTCTGCCCGTCATATTGCCGCCTGAGCCCTTCCTGGCCGCCATATGCTTCGGTGCATTAAAAAACTGCAGGCCTGAGACCCCCTGGCCGCTTGTTTTCGGTGCACTTGCAGGCCTGAGACCCGCCTGTCTTGCTAGTGTCATCCTGCCTGTCTCCTGTCCGGTGCTGCCATCTGCCATGTTTTCTGTCTTGCTACTGTACTCTGTCCTGTCCTGTCTCCTGTTCCTGCCCGGCCGCCCGGCCTGCAGGCTCGCAGGGGGCACTAGAGACTCTCTTCCTCAATTGTGATTTATGGGTTTAGGGACTATGATTTGGGATCCCTCCGCTTTATTTAGGGCTTGGGCACTTTGATTTAAGGATACGGGGCCCCCAAGTCCCACCTCAGGCGATGGTTCTACTTCTAGAAGGCCAAGCTCTAAACCCTAAGCCCCAAGCCCTAAACCCTAAACCCTAAACCCTACACCCTAAACCCCTCAAAGAACCAATAGAGGTCTGGTCCCTCTGAAGGCAAGTCCTGGATTGGGAGAGACTCCATGCCTCTTCCTGCCAGTACCTTGGCCTCAACCACATCCCGGGGGCCCATTGGGGATTTGCCGAAATTCAGGGCCACCCAAAAAAAAAGAAGTTAACAACAAATCAAAAAAACATCTCGTGGAATTCTCAAAGCTCCGAAACCTCATAAACCCTAAACCCCTGAACCCCTGAACCGCAAGCCCGAAACACTGAACCGTCGACCCCCTTATATCTTCGGGAAGCCTATTCAGGGAACCAAGCTCTGTAGGAGTGGTTGGCTAGGTTTAGGATTTAGGGTTTGGGGTTTAGGGTTTAGGTTTAGGGCTTGGTTGCGTGAACTTGGGGATGTTCTAAACATTCTTGCCTGTACAAAGCCGTGGGGCCAAAACGCCGGAAGCCCCAGAAGCCACAGGAAGCCCTAGAAGCCCTACAAGCCCTAAAAACCCTGGAAACCCTAGAAGCCCTAGAAGCCCTAGAAGCCCCAGGAAGCCCTCGAAGCCCTAGAAGCCCCAGGAAACCCTAGAAGCCCTAGAAGCCCTCGAAGCCCCAGGAAGCACTAGAAGCCCCAGGAAGCCCTAGAAGCCCTAGAAGCCCAGGAAACCCTAGAAGCCCTAGAAGCCCCCAAAAACCCTGGAAGCCCGACAAACTCCCTAAAGCCCTAACCCTAACACTATGCCCATTCTCTTAGGGTCCCTTTATAATTCTACAACAACCTCCTAAACCCTGTTCTAATTATTAAGGCTCCTATATAGTGCCCCTAGAAACCCTCAACCCTAAAGCCTTAACCCTAACACTAAGCCCTGAAGCCCTAATCTAGGGGTCGGACTAATTACTAAAAGGATTCCCTTAGGGCCCCGTTAGAATTCTACTAAAATAGCCCCCCAAAACCCTGTTCTAATTATGAAGGCACCTTTTTTACACACTTAGGGTCAACCCAGGACCCCGAGTTTGCTGCGGTTCGTGGGCCGCCAGAAGGACCCGGACATCTGCGAAAGGTTTGGGCCCCACCTGCTGCGCTTAGGGTTTAGGGTCCAGGGTCTGGGGTTTAGGGTTTAGGGTTTTAACCAGCAACCCGAAGTCCCCACAGACTCTGGGGGGAGGGGGACCCTCTGGGGCCTGGGAGGATCTGAGCTGGGGGGGCTGGTGGTCCCGGCTGCTCTCTTACCGGGGCGTGCCCTTCGACCGCCACGACTGGTTCATCGCACCCTGGCCTTAGGGTTTGGGGTTTAGGGTTTGAGGCTTGGGTTTAGGGTTTAGGGTTTAGGGTTTAGGGTTTAGGGTTTAGGGTTTAGGGTTTAGGGTTTAGGGTTTAGGGTTTGGGGTTTAGGGTTTGAGGCTTGGGTTTAGGGTTTAGGGTTTAGGGTTTAGGGTTTAGGGTTTAGGGTTTAGGGTTTAGGGTTTAGGGTTTAGGGTTTAGGGTTTAGGGTTTAGACCTGGGGGTTGTGCCGCGAAATCTACAGCGTGGGGCTCCGTGTTGTACCCTGCAAACCACAATCCTCCCCCAATCCCACGCCTCAAAGTCAATCCCCAAGGACCGCTGTGGCCAGCGCACGGTGCGTTACGTCATCGACTACTACGACGATCCGGCCGCCGGAAGCCTGGCCAGAAAGCTGTCGGTTCGGGAATTCAGAGTGTAGGGTTTAGGGTTTAGGGTTTAGGGTTTAGGGTTTAGGGTTTAGGGTTTAGGGTTTGGGGTTTAGGGTTTAGGGGTTAGGGTTTTAGGGTTTAGGGTTTAGGAATTCAGGGTGTGGGCGTTCATCGATTTAGGGCTTAGGGATTGCCTGCTCGTGGCGTTGAAATCCTTCAACCCCCAATTCTAAACCCTTAAACTCCCAAGTCCCGCAACAGGTTCAGGGTTTAGCATGTGGGGAAGGGGGGGTTCAAAGTCGCGAGGGGCCAAATAGTTTGAGATACCAACATCAATCCCTCCGTGTAACAACCCAGGTGACAAAGAGGACCTCCAGATCACTATCGAGGCACGCCCCGCCCTGGACACAGCAGGCCAGGCGGAGACATTGTTCCTTCTCACCCGCCCCCCCCCCCCCCGCCCCCAGTCCAACATAGTCCAACATATTCGAATAGATTATAGAGGATTCTTGTGATATGGTGGTATACTGGAATGGGAAGAGAATACCCTAAACCCTAAACCCTAAACCCTAAACCCTAAACCCTAAACCCTAAACCCTAAACCCTAAACCCTAAACCCTAAACCCTAAACCCTAAACCCTAAACCCTAAACCCTAAACCCTAAAACGCTGCAATGGGGGTTTCGGGGGGGGAGAAAGTCCCCTTCAGGTGACCTGCTGGACCGCCTGCGTCGGCCCGGTTGGCAGCTGCGGCGCGTGTGGCTGGGGCAGACCATCGGGAGCTGGGTTGGGTTTTTTAGGTTTAGGGTTTAGGTTTTAGGGTTTAGGGTTTAGGGTTTAGGGTTGTAGGGTTTAGGGCTTAGGGTTTAGGGTTTAGGGTTGTAGGGCTTAGGGTTTAGGGTTTAGGGTTTTTCGGGGCGGGACTCCAGGCTCTCGCGAGGGCGTGGGGCGTGAGGAGTTTGAAGGGGATTTAGGGTGCACAGTACCGGCTTTGGTCTTGCTACTAGAGTCCTTTGACCATGACCGTCATGATTACTGATGTTAGGGCTTAGGGTTTGGGGTTTAGGACTTAGGGCTTAGGGTTTGGGGTGTAGGGTTTAGGGCTACAAGGGTTCAAAATCGCAAGCCCCCAAACGGCTTGTAGAGAATCTGAGGTGGACCGCCGTCTTCGGGGGAGGCTCCATGGCAGCAGGGCCTACAGTGACACGCGGGGGGGTCCCGTCTTCGGTCTGTGTTTTCTTGGGGGGCGGGGTAGGGGTTTAGGGTTTAGGGTTAGGGTGTAGGGTTTAGGGTTTAGGGTTTAGGGTGTAAGGTTTAGGGTTTAGGGTTTAATTAGGGTTTAGGGTTCAGGGTTTAGTGTCCAATCCAAGGGTTGCAACTATGGTTTCCATGACTATTGTTACCAGAGTTATCTTTGTTTCTACTGTTACTTTGATGGTTATGATTATTGTTACTATTGTTGGTATTGTTGCTACCTATCTGACGTTATCCCCGTTGCTTTTGCGGTTTTTGTAAGTATCGCGACTATTGCTACACTGGCTATCGTTGGTGTTGTTGTGTTATCTGATTGTTACTGTTGCCAGCGCTAGTATATTGCGCGCTAGTGGATTAATGGTTCGAGCTGCCACGGCAAGTCGCCATAGACTTACAACCTACTACCCCGAAGCCTAAACTGCATTATCCAAGTCCTTAGCAACTGGGGGCATTCGTGCCATTGCTCAAAGCACTGAGCCCTACAAAACCTTCGACAAGGTTGTCCGGGTGATTCGGTTAACGATTCAGTTTTGCCTCCTAAACCCTAAACCCTAAGCCCTTTTTTGGTGACTCTCCAGCCTCCATGCACCCATCTGTGCTCACTGAGGAGGACGGGGCCAGTGAACAGCGAGGCATACCCAGAGCGCCCTCGGCACGTGCACGCACTCTCATGCTCCCCCAAGGACTATATCCCCTTTGGGAATTATTTTTCATTTTTGTTTATATATCAAACCCAAGAGGACATTAAAAACAAATGTTTATTAAGGTTCTAAGGGGAGTATAGAGGAATGTCGTAATCCCTAAGCGCTAAACCTAAGCCTCAAGGTTAACGAGATGTACCCTCCTAAGCCCTCAACCCTAGATCGTAAACCCTAAGCCCCCTACCCCCTAAACTCTGAACACTCCACAAGCTCAGAGTTCTCGGCGCTTTTTCGGCCCCGTGGCCATGCGCCCCCATGACGCCCTCGGAGCAAAAAGCGGTCTGCTGCGGGAGACGTCCTTCGGTTTTGGGTTGAAGAAATTCCCAGGGGTAGGTTTGACCAGAATTATTTATTATTATTATTATTACTATTATTATTATTATTATTACTATTGCCCTTAAATCCCTATATAATCCTTATAAGACCGTAAACGTAAAAATCATTATTGTAGGGCCCCCAAACCTGCCCCAGTTCCGGACAGTGGCATGCGAGACCCATGTCTTGGATTTGTCGTTTGTGAACCCAGCGGTTTTGCTGGCCCTAAATTCTAAACGCTAAACCCTAAACCCGAAACCCTAAACTCAAACCCTAAACCCTAAGAGCTTTGGAGAGTGCGGGGTTGCAGGCCTAGGTCCAACGTACCTCAATGTCATATGTGCAGCCGCATGTATCCCCGTCCTGGCCCAATCTTTCCACAGAACTTCTGACCTCCGCTCTTTCAGTTGCTTTGGTGCAGTTTCCGCTTTTCGGGTTTGGGGCCGAATGGAGTTTAGGGTTTTTTGGTGAGGGTTGCTGAACATTGGGGTCCCATTTTTGGGGGTGAATCATGTTTGTAGATGAGGAACCACCACCGGATGCTGCAGTTCCCGAGGTGCTGCAGTTGTGAACGACTCCTTTAACAAGATTGGACAGCAGCTAGGCACCTCATGGGCGTCAAGGGTGTCATGGGCAGGGGGAGGGGAGGGGGTCGAGGTAGGGTTTAAGGTTTAGAGGGCTTGGGGTTAAACCCGAAACCCTAAACCAAACCAGAGTTTGATTAAGGTCTAGGGATCTTGGGCTTGGCAATCTTGCGGGTTTAGGCTTGACAAACTCGGCTCTTCGTAGAGGGTCCCAGCCCTTCCCCCGGTTTAGGGCCTAGGGCTTGTAGGGTTTGGGTTTAGGGTTTAGGGTCTGTTTAGGGGCTTTTTTGGGTTTGGGGCTTGTACGGCTTAGGCTGCCAGCCCCGCGGTACCCTTTTCCCTTTTTTGTTGCGCCATACCTTTGGATCAAGGTTCCCTTATCAAGTAACCAACCCACAGGGTGCTCTCATTATTCTCATTTTTTCTGGGCTTGCAAGTAGGTTTGTTTAAGGCTTGGGTTTTTTAGGGTTTGGGGCCTCTTTTGTTAAAAACAAACCTGAGCTACCAAGTGTTTTTGTTTGGGGCTTGGGGCTTTTAGGGTTTAGGGCTTCTTTAGGTTGGCGTGTGGGGAGAGCCCCGGTACAAACTTGCAGCAGCCAGGGCGCGTCCAAAAGAGCCTCCGCTCCTCCGTGAACTTGGCGTGGGGCGCCCTGGGATGTGTTGGGCTTGTTGGAGGGCTTAGGGTTTAGGGTTTCGGTTTAGGGTTTAGGTTCTAGGGTTCAGGGTTTAGGGGCTTTACTCACTGGTTCCTAGCATGGAATCACGGAAATTCGGGAAATGATAGGGAAACTTACCCTTCAGCCCACCCGGAGAACCCAATGCTCCTTAACTACCCAGGATCGCCATGGAGATGTCCCACTTTTGTCTGAGGATTCCAGGGCCTCCCCGTTTTTTGGAGCAGGAACTCTAATCCTCCGAAAAACTCAAGACCCAAGGGGGATAGGTGTTTACCCGAACCCCCAAACCCAATCTCTAAACCTCAAACCAGAAATGCTTGGCCCGACAGTTCAACCCCTTACGACAGGACCTGCAGCAATGAGCCTGCCTCTCAGCCCTGAAACCTCCAACCCGGAAGCCTCAACCCTACATGCTTCTACCAAATGCTACAATCCTAAACCCCAAAGCCCTAACCCCTAAACCCTAATAAACCCTAGTAAACCCTCCTAAACCCTCAACCCTCAACCCTCAACCCCTAAACCCTAAACCCTAAACCCTCAACCCCCTGGGCAGGCAGGAGCTGGAGGCCATGGCGACCTCCTTCCAGGCACGAAGCTAGGGTTTAGGGCTTAGGGGTTTAGGGTTTAAGGCTCATGTGGGGGGGTTTAGCCTAAATTTAGCCCTCAACCCTCCTTGAACCCTGAACCCTGAACCCTGAACCCTAACCCCTAACTAAACCCAGCCCTAAACCCTCAACCCAATCTAGGTCGGTCTACCCCCCCCCCCCCCCAATGCAACTGCACTTCGCGGTCCAGCTTAGGGCCTCCCCAAAGTCTTTGCGATGCTGGAGGAACCTGACAGCTGGGCCAAGAGTCCTGAAATAAACGGGTTTGGGGTTGAGGGTTTAGGGTTTAGGAGCTTAGGGAAGAGAACTTCTAGCGAGGTTCAGGAGCACACCACAGGTCGACATCGACACGCGGCTAATTGGAGGTCATCTTGAGTTTGCATGCGCGAGTTTTTTTTGCTGTCCCAAGCAGCTCCCTGAACTCACAAGCAGCAGCAGGAGTACAAGAATGCGTGCTACTCCCTTCCACCCCAAACCCTAAAAGCTCTCTTCCTTGATGCAATCAAGGGGCATTCGGATCTCTGGGCATCTGTGCTTGAGAATTCCACGGATTCCCGAGGCCGTTGTCGATGACCTCCCGAACACCTGCAACAAGCTGCACCTCGGCGCGGGAAACCCTAACCCGAAAAACCGAAAATCCCTAAACATGAAAATCCCTAAACCCTAAACCCTAAACCCTAAAAACTCTAAACCCTCAACCCTATGTGAACCCTAAAAGCCTAAACCCCGCCGGTCCGGATTTGTGGGTTTGCCCCGGGCACTTCCAGGGTTTACGGTTTCGGGGGTTTGGGGTTTGGGGGCTTAGTTAAACCCTTCTGAAGCTTCAAGCACTCCTAAACCCTGAGCCCTAAACCTTAAACCCTAAACCCTAAACCCTAAACCCTAAACCCTAAACCCTAAACCCTAAACCCTAAACCTAGGGTTTAGGGTTTAGGGTTTATCCTGAACACTAAATCCCAAACCCTACATTGCGGGCTTCTGGCCCTGTTGCAGCACGTTTTCTCAGAGTTTAGGGAGGTGCACCCAACCCCGGCTTGGGATAAAAAAGGCCCTAAACCCTAAACCCTAAACCCTAAACCCTAAACCCTAAACCCTAAACCCTAAACCCTAAACCCTAAACCCTAAACCCTAAACCCTAAACCCTAAACCCTAAACCCTAAACCCCTAAACCCCTAAACCCCTAAACCCCTAAACCCCTAAACCCCTAAACCCCTAAACCCCTAAACCCCTAAACCCCTAAACCCCTAAACCCCTAAACCCCCCCCTCCTCCAACCACCACGTGTGGCGCTGCAACAAGGGTCCCTGGCGCTACGCAGATCATGGGCATAGCGTCGGAGAAGGCGAACCTCAGCAGTTCAGGGTTCAGGGTTCAGGGTTCAGGGTTTAGGGTTTAGGGTTTAGGGTTTAGGGTTTAGGGTTCAGGGTTTAGGGTTCAGGGTTCAGGGTTTAGGGTTTAGGGTAGTGTGTAAGGTTTAGGGTTTAGACCCAAAGCCCTGAACGTTTGAAGTTTCGAGATCAGGGTTCGGGCGTCGGGTTCAGGGTTTAAGAAACTGGGGCCGTTTGCCCAACGCCCAAGGTTCGAGCCAAGATTTGAGCGCTTAGGGATAGAGGACCCTGTTTAGGGTTCAGGGTTTAGGGTTTAGGGGTAGCTTTCAGTTGTAAGAGGATTGTGTCGGTTATTACAGAGGCTGGTGGCTGCTGTATTACATCCGTTCTGTCTTTGATGCGTGCTTTTTCGCTTGTCCCTTATGGACCCTCAACGCGAAGCCCGCAAAGAACACCAACCCACTCACTCCTTGACATTCCACGAACCCGAAATCCTAAACCCTCGGCCGCAGCCCTTCTCTGTTCTATGCGGAACTGGAGTTGTTGCCGCCCTGGGTTTGACGAAGTATGCTAGCCCGAACAGCAATTTCGTGCATGCTCGATACTTCGGCACGGTGCAGATGTTCCTCTAAGTGCTAAACCCTAGACCCGAAACCGCAGTCCTTTTCTGTTCTCTGCGGAGCCTGAGTTGTTGCCGCCTAGGTTTGACGTACTGTGCCAACTATGCTGGGTAACTTGTGTGCCTAGCGAGACAGATGCCACAGCTGCAAGGCCAATGAGAAGCTCGTGGAGATGAAAGAGAAGGCACGATTAGGGTTTAGGGTTTAGGGTTTAGGGTTTAAGGTTTAGGCTTTAGGGTTTCGGGTTTAGGGTTTAGGGGCTCAATTGTTGGCTTTCGGTAGGGAGGCCTCCTCGGCATAGCTTCGCGACGATGCCAGCCCAGTCGTGCATGACCCCAGCCAAACGATGGGTGTTTTTCTGGGATCAAAAGCCTCAGAACCCGAAACCCTAAACCCTAAACCTTAAACCCTAAACCCTATACCTCAAACCTCCTTGAAACCCAGATTCGACCAGGTCTCGGCTTTCTCGAGTGTGTCGCATGCCGCCAGCCACGCCATCGACACCGCCATCAGCCAGGAGTGGCTGATGAAGGCCGGAGTCGCCACCCTAAACCCTAAACCCTAAACCCTAAACCCTGAACCCTAAACCCTAAACCCTAAACTCTAAACCCTAAACGCTAAACCCTAAACCCTGAACCCTAAACCCTAAACCCTAAACCCTAAACCCTAAACCCTAAACCCAATGGTTCTTAGGGTTCTTCGGGAATAGGGAAGCGACTTTGTGTCTCTGGACTGCCAGGGATTCTCGGCCCCTCCTCTTTGCCGCGTAAGCTCCTGCCGGCAAAATGCGCAGGG